GAATAACATTTTTGCTTTGGGTTAACACTAATTTGATTCCACTTTCATCGGTCATCTCACATCCAAACAAATTAAACTTTCTGAATAACAAGATTTTAGCCTTGTACAATAGCCTTTCTTCAAGAAAATAGTTTTTGGCRCTCTCATTTACTTAAATCATCCATCTTTCCATCCTTCTCTTCCTCCCTCCCTCCCTTCCTTTCATCCCTTTCTTCAGTCATTCACTTTCTCACTTTAGCCTGGTCCTTTATTTTTCTTGGCCTGTAAGTTTCMATGAATATGTTTTATCGACCAACAGTAATGTGAAAATATGTACAAAGCATAAAACTCAAAGCACACACAACCAACACTCCTGTTGAGCTTACACATTGAACAATTACAATCTTCTCTCTACACTTCCTTTCATCCTTCCATCCATTCCTTCATTAACTCACATTTTCACTCAATATTTGCTTTTTCAATTGATTATTCCTTCAGTTGTTGATTTACCTTTTCATCATTACTATTCCTTCAGTCAGCTAGTCAGCTTATAAGTATCTTTTTCTCCTCAGATGAAGTAATACAATTCACAGCATTGACGTGGATTAAGGAATTCATTGCYCTGTCTGGTCGTACCATGTTACAATTCAGTGCGGCAATCATCCAGTCAGTCCTTCCCTGCATTTCCTATGAGCAAGACAAGCTCAACATCAAAGACGTAGCCACAACAGTAAACCAGTGTTTGATGCGCTTAATCACTGAGGACGATGATAAAACAATAGAGACAGGAACTGTGTCCATGGAGTGTGACGATATCACTGTTGTGCAGATTCAATTAGATCTGAGACCTGTTGTGGAGGTTCTTACCAAACAATTGGCACATAAATCAATTCCAACTAGAATTGCAATGCTCAGATGGGTTTTACAGCTGCATTTGAAGACACCTAATAAGGTATAATGAAAAGAATATGAACTAAGAGAAGGAATCTCATGAGCACTGTTTGATACTATTTTTAGAATCTTTAATTCTATTTTTAGAATCATTCACTTGATCATTTGTTTTTCTGCACATGTGAACTGCATGCAGCTATCCTATTTGTTCTGGTTTTCTTGTCTTTTTCAAATAAGAAAAATGTGAGCAAGCAGCATAGAATAAGCACATTTCGAGAGTGCAGGAAAACAAACAATGGCAATATTGCAATATTGTGATTCTAGAAATAGCATCAAATGGTGYCTTTAATGGTTTCAAGCATAAATACCATGGATTCCTTCTCTCAGTTTATTCTAGTATTAGTGTTTCTTTTCATTTTGTATTTATAATTTCCTCTCTGGTTTACTTGGTTGAACATCAGCTTGGGAAGATGAAACATCAATAGCCAGTATCTACTGATGGTTAGAATTTTGCCGTGGCTTTGAAGASCATGTTGTAAAACCTCAACTCTGTATCATATAGACCCATTCCATACACCACTCTACAAATATGCCAAACCTAATTGATGATTTAAGTGCAGCAGAAGAGTGTCGTGTGAATCAGCTGCCACTCCAGTGTTGCATAATGTGGCAAGCCCTGTCAAACTTAACACATTTGCTGTACCAAATTTTGACTGCCAGACCAAACTTTATTATTTATATAGCGTGCATATCCTGTGCTCATTGCATCACCAAACTGATCCATATGCTGCACTTTTGCCATTAATTTATCAATTACATTCGGCACAGCCAGCTTACTGGTAATTTACTTTAGTTCTACATATTAAGTGTGTTATCTGAATCAGAAGTCGCTTCAAACTGATTTGGAGTCAACATATGAATCATGAGTTTAACGAGTGGCATATGAAGCAAGTCTTGACTAGTTTTATACTCGATTTGTGATTCCCAAAACAAATTGCCTATTTTTGATTGACATTGTTTCACAAGTTTCTAATCTTTGTGTCTTTCTATTTCAACAGCTTTTCCAACACATCGAAGTATTATTTCCGGAATTATTAAAAACTCTGTCAGACCCATCAGATGAGGTATGTACCTTAAAACCAGATGATTTATTATAATCTTTTCTAAATGATGAGTGGGCGCGGCAGGGGTAACCTTAAAAGGGGGGCTGGGTTTTAGACCTTGCAAARGTTTAGACTCTACTAGCTTTAGCTGTTGTATCACAGCACGGGACAATCACAACAGAGCTAGGCTCCAAACTAGGTGAAAGCCCAAAGAATGAATTAGAATTTAGTAGTTGATTTTTAAGGAGGGAGGAAAACCGGAGAACCCAGAGAAAAACTCTCGAAGCACAGGAGAGAACCAAYAAACAACTCTACTCTATGTATCTTAATAGTCCCATTTCTCATTTGGTAAATACTGCAGCTGTGTTTTATGACTGAAGACTCAATCTCTCATTGCTAGGGTTTTTGATAACATCTAAATTTTTTCTCAGGTATCTAGGCTTTGTTGCTTGCTCCTTATTGGTTCAAGTTTGACATAACTTTGATTCAATTTTCACTCTAAAGCTGCAGTTTGGGTAACCATTCATGACGCCCCCTTGTCATGACGCCCCCAGCCATGACRCCCCCACTTATACCATGACGCCCCTAKTCTCTATTAACACTTATTTAATGAGAAGTTTAAYGATAATAACATGTTATGGTTTGAACTGCAGTTAATATGTACCCCTGTTGTATTTTTTCACAGGTAGTTTTACTGGATTTAGAAGTTTTAGCTGAGATTTCAGCATCATCTGCTGGACCTCCAAGAGAAAGCCCTCCGTCAAGCATGATTTCATCAAGTTCTCCACCATCACCAGAAGAATCCAGCGTACTCCCTCGTCAACTGAACAAATATTTTCACAAATTTATGCACAGTCTTATGATGCTGTTCAGAAAAGATAGAAAGCTTTTGGAAGAAAGAGGATCATTTATATTAAGGTGACTTTCTCAAGTTTTGTTTGACAGGGTGAGAACCCCTCACCTTCCCCCTGGGGTTTCAGGTTTGATTTTTGTTGGGTCTTGATTTTAAGGGTTTTTCTCTGGGTTTTTCAGTTTTCCACATTTTAGAAAACCCAACATGCTCAATTTTAAATTTTATCTGTGAGTTAGCGGTGCCCTGACTTAGATCACCCTAGAGGTTGTTTCAGGGTTCAATCTGTGAGTTAGCCATGCCCTGACTTAGATCAKCCCAGAGGTTGTTTTAGGGTTCAATCTGTGAGTTAGCCATGCCCTGACTTAGATTAGCCCAGAGGTTGTTTCATGGTTTGATCTGTAAATTAGCCATGCCATGACTTAGATCAGCCCAGAGGTTATTTCAGGGTTCGATCTGTGAATTAGCCATACACTGTCTTAGATCACCCCAGAGGTTGTTTCAGGGTTTGATCTGTGAGTTAGCCGTGCCCTGACTTAGATCAGCCCAGAGGTTGTTTCAGGGTTCAATCTGTGAGTTAGCCATG